GACTCACAAGGCAATGTCAATTGGAAGACAAGGTCGAGTACAAGTTGAAGATATCGTCTTCTTGATTCGAAAGGACCCAAGGAAGTTTGCTAGGGTTAAAGACTTGCTCACCATGAATGAAGAACTGAAACGAGCTAGAAAAGCATTTGATGAAGCAAACTACGGATCTTGATAAATTTTGTACTTTGTGAAATTTCATTATCTTCTGTGGAAATCACATATAATAATTGTGTATTTTGTTCAGTAATGTCCTAATATCTAGGCATGTAAATGAAAGATGGAGAAACAAAGTTTTCAGCCTTTATTTTCATGTCTTTGATTTTAGAGTGATCCTTGAGCCTTTAATTGCCTGCCTTTACATGATTATACTTGAATTACTTACTGAGTTTAATGACTACACGTAAGTTAAAGTACCTTACAAATTATGCAGTTCCTTCTGACTTTTGACTATCTAAAGGATGAAGTAGTATTTATGTTTTAGGTATATTTGTGCCATTATAAGCTATACTATAGCTGTTTAATATGTGAAATCTAAGTGTCATTTTGACTATGACAGCTGAGACATATGCCTTACATATTCTGAAGTTTTTAGACAACAGTGGTCTGAGATGTTATTAAAGATAGTGAATTGGTTTTCTTTTAAGGAGATGATATTTGAAACTACAAGTTTTTGTAAGAATGTTTATGTGTCTTAAATGATAATTTGTTTTAATATTTTCTAAAGAGTGATTTTTTTATTTTTATTTTTTTAGAAACTTAAAAGTTTCATGTTGATGCTTCCATGTTGAAAGACTTTTTTGATTTAAAATCTTTTGGACTTAGGTTACTTTTTAAGTTTTAGAACTCATTTTCCCAATCATCTACTTTCAGGAGCAGGAATGGCAATGTTTAATGAGCTAATGGTAGGATAAGCATTTGGGGTAGTGTTTTTTTAACATATTTGTAAGTACTTGTGGAAATGTGTAGTTGACTAAAACTGTATGTAGCTACAAGAACCACTTTTGTAGTTCACAGTATACAGGTTTTGTGTGAATTTAACTTACTGCATTAAATTATTGCCCTTAGCTTAAAATAAGGATTAAAATTGCATTTAAAGAGATCACTGAATGTTACTGTTTGTGAAACTGAGCTTTTTGATTCTACTTATAAATAGTATCTATAAATCAGTACCTGGGAAAATTTTACTTTCTTAACCTATTGATACAAGGAATAAAGTATAAAAAAATTAAACAGATTAATGTTTGATTTTGCCTGTGATTTATAATCTTTTTATCCTCAGGATATTATGTTTATTATTGGTAATATGATAATTCTAGCTCAATAATTTCTATCTTTTTATAATAAATATATCACAGTTCATACTGGTCTTCAGTGCACACCTGAAAAGCTAAAAATAATAGGAATGGAATAATAAGCTATTCTTACATTACTATTTTTGCTAATAGGGCCTGCTCCACCCTTAAGAAGGAAGTGGTAGCAACCAGCACTACTGGAGTGTCCTTAGCTGTATTTACTTTGTGTAGAGGGATACTATATATACACTGCCTTAGATCATATCTCTATAATTTTTTGAGTGCCTTACTATTCCGTTAATGATCCGTACAAGTAAGACTGCAAAAAAGGATTTATTGGCTTACATAGCTGAAACATAGGAAAGAAGGGATGGAAATGACTTCAGGATTTATTGGATCTAAGTACTTAAGGATAATTAAGATAGTCTCCTCATTTTATTTTTACTTACTTATTTTTTGATATTGGGGATTGGACTCAGGGACACTCGACTACTGAGCCATATCCCCAGCCCTAATTTGTATTTTATTTAGAGACAGGGTCTCACTGAGTTGCTTAGTTCCTTGCCATTGCTGAGGCTGGCTTTGAACTTGTGATCCTTCTGCCTCAGCCTCCGAGCTGTTGAGATTACAGGAATATGCCACCTTGTCCGGCTCTGTCCATTTTTTATCCTAATTTTGGTTTTATTCTCTCTGTGGTCTAGGAACATGATGGCTAGCAGTTCTAGGGTTCCATTCTTACAACTCCAGATTGAGGAAGCTGTTCCTAATACAGAAAGTTCCAAGCAAGGATTATGATCATCCCAGCTCTAGTCATTCTTCTTGGCTAAATTATTCTGTCCAAGAAGAAGTTGTACCAAAGCTTGGATCTCAAGCCTTACTTCTGTGGTGAAAAAGGGCTTGGGGTAGGTGTGGGAGCTGGATATTGGTAATTAGCATAAAGGGGACACGGGGGCTGGACAGAAAAATACCAAATGTCCACTGATTTGATTGATGAATTTGTTAATTTTGAATTCTGGTAGGAAGGTAGCATGGCTGTCTTCCATTATCTAGGGCTGTAATGTGTAATATGGTAGACAGTAGCCATATCCTTAAGCCTAATTAAAGTTAAATAATACTCAGTTTTTCAGTTGCACTTGGTATATTTCAAGTACTCAATAACCCCAAAGTCAGTGACTACTGCACTGGACAGAGGTGATACAGAACATTTTCATTATCACAGAAAATTCTTTTGGATAGTGCTGACCTAGAGTACACAGGTGTTCTCCTAAGTTAACTCACTGAAAAAAAAGAAAAAAAAAACTTTGGAAAATCTCAAGCATAAACATAATAATGAACCTCCAGCTTCAACAACCAAAAATTTTTTGGCAAATATTAAAAGCAAACCCCAGATGTATTATTTCATCTGCAAATTCTTCAGCATGTATTTCTAACAAAAGTTTAAAAGGGTAACCAAATAGTATTTTATGCTATTATTATTAATTCTTTAATATTCTACCCCTAATGCCCAATATATGTTTAAATCTTCCTGATTTGTCTCAACATAGCTTTTTTGAGTTTGTATATTAGCTTTCTCTTGCTACTGTAACAAATCACTGCTCATTTATTACAAACTTATTATATTACCAGTTTTCTAGATCAGAAGTCTGACCCTGGCCCCTATGCTTAGATCAAGGAACCGACAGGGTTATCTTCCTTTCTGGATATTCTAGAAAAGAACCTGTTTACTTGCCTTTTCCAGCTTCTAGAGACTTTATTTCTTAGCTCATGGTCCCCTTCTTTGCTCTTCAAACCTAGCAGTGATACATCTCTGACTCTTGTGGTCACGCCTACTTCATCTGAAGCCAGATGGGAAGGATTCTTTGTAATTTTGGACCCATCTGGGATAACTCAAGGTACTCTCCCCATTTCAAGGTTCTTAACTTAATCACACCAGCAAAATGTCTTTTACATCAAGTAATATATTCATTCACACAGGTTCTGGGGATTAGGATGTGGTTGTCTTGAGATGCTATTATTCTGCCTACCACAGTTGTTATGAAATAAGATTTATTTATTTTTTGAGAGAGAGAGAGAGAGTGTTTTATTTTACTTTATTAGTTTTCGGCGAACACAACATCTTTGTTTTTGTATGTGGTGCTGAGGATTGAACCTGGGCGGCATGCATGCCAGGCGATTGAGCCACATCCCCAGCCTCATGAAATAAGATTTAAACATGATATCACTAACTATATTTGTTTCCTATGTCTGCATTTTTAAAAATCTGTTATAATTCCTTCCCCACTTTGTTTTAAGTGAAGCTCTTTTAAAACCACCTTTATATTTTAGCATGTTTATTTGCTGCTTAAGCAGAGAGCCTAATATTATCTATGATTGCACTTGAAATTGTTGATTTTATTCTAAGTTGGTGTTCTTGGGTAAAATTATAACATTAATTCTAAGTGTAGAAATTTTACAATGAGAGAAATAGCTTTCATGTCCTTTCATCAGTGGAGAAGGGTGATGCCTAGAGAGTCATTTGGCCATTTGACCTCAGGAGGTTGCATTACTTGAATGAACTTACTCTCCAGAGTTTGATTTGCAGCATTGCAGGTCCAGAAAAACTGATTTCATCAGCAAATGGATAACACATCTCTCCTGGAATGGGTTCATAGAAACCAAGCTTATGAGACCAATGTAAGAAAATGGATATCAATTTACAGAAATAAATAAAACTTAAACAATGTGACCAGTGCATTCTTTTCTTCTCTAGGCAGACACATGTAGGAAACTGAAACAGAATTTTCTTTTCCCCCAGTACTGGGGATTGAACCCAAGGGTGCTTTGTCACTGAACTATATTCTCAGTCTTTTTTTTTTTTTTTTTTTTTTGAGGTAGCTTAATTGCCCAAGCTGGCCTCGAATTTTCAATCCTCCTACCTCAGCCTCCTGAGTCTCTGGGAATACAGGTATGCACCACTGTACCTGGCCTGAAACAGAATTATGAGGGTGAATCATAATGAGGGGAATTATATAAATGCATTATCTAGAGTACCAGGTGACATAGAATAGGGTTAACAGAAAATCACCTGGGCCTGAGTAACACAGAAGGTGGGTTGCCCAGGGAGCCACCTTCAGTATTGTCTTGTTATTGACCCTGGAAACTTTTGAATTTTCACGACCATTGTTAATCCCCATCCAAGTATTTTCTCTGTTTGTCACTTTAGTTACTTTTATTTTTTAGCATCCAGATTTAGCCCAGGCGTGCTTAACCCTGAGCCATATCCCCAGCCCTTTTAATTTTTTATTTTGAGTCAGCGTCTTGCTAAGTTGCTTAGGGTTTCCCTAAGTTGCTGAGCCTGGCTTTGAACTTACCTTCTTATCTCAGCCTCCTGAGTCTCTTGAGTCTACAAGTGTTCACTACCATGCCCAGTTGTCACTTTAAAGTGACTTTATGTATCTCCGGTTCATTTGAACTTTGATCTCAAAAGTTATTCAAAAAGGGCAAATTTTCCATCCTAGTTCTATGGGGAAAACTCAGTTGCTCATAGTAGCTGACAACACTAAATATTGTTCCCCAAAATCAAGAACGTTTTGAAGCTCTGCTTGTATCCCCAAACATTACCAATTCTCTAGGCCTCGTGCCTTCCTTCTTACCACAGGAGAGACTAAAGGTATGAATGGGTGATCTGTGAGCAAAATGTTAGCTGTGTTATTGAAGATTGCTTCATTTCCTGGGTCCTAGTAAATTACTACATGAGCTATTCAAACAAATTATGGAATAGGATGGAGGTGAAAGTTTTGGTACATAGTATCAGATAAGTACTTATTAGTCATCTATTGTATTTAAGGCATAGCCCAGATATAATTTTCCATATGGTATCTGGAAAAATGGAATTATGAAGTTATAGAAGTAAGTGTATTTCTCTTTTTTATAAGATTGGCTTTTTTATTTTATTATTTTTTTTTAGAGAGAGAGAGAGAGAGAATTTTAATATTTATTTTTTAGTTTTTGGCGGACACAACATCTTTGTTTGTTTGTGGTGCTGAGGATCGAACCTGGGCTGCACACATGCCAGGCATGCGTGCTACCGCTTGAGCCACATCCCCAGCCCGGAGAAGTAAGTATGTTTCTTATATGTTACTAATAGATTGGTAGGCATTTTAAATTGAACTTATTTTAATTTTTTTTTTTAGTTGTAGCTGGACACAATACTTTTATTTATTTTTATGTGGTGCTGAGAATTGAACCCAGCATCTTGCACGTGCTAGGCAAGTGCTCTACCCTGAGCCACAATACAGCCCCTAAATTGAACTTTTTTACAAAATCCTGCATGTTGTTTGTAGTACTGGTATTTCTATTTTACTATTTGCACAGAAAGTCTGGTAAACAGCCCCTAAATATTTGGGTGTTTTTTTGTTTGTGGTGCTGGGGGTGGCAAGCATAGAGTGCTACTACTGAGCTATATCCTGAATATGTATGCTTTTAGGCTAGGAAGAACCATTGCTAACATATCATTTGCTATTTGCCTTTGCATGACTATTACAGAGAACTGAAGTTTTTTAGGAAAGAGTGTACTTACTGACTAATCTGTAAAATGCTAATACTATGCTTAAATTTTCTGAAATGGGATTTTTTTTTTTTTTTTTTTAGTTTTGGGGGGATGTAAACGTTTGCTTTTGATATGGAAGTTGAACTCAGAGCACTGAGCTTCATCACCAACCTTTTTTTATTTCAAGACAGAGTCTCACTAAGTTGTCCAGGCTGTCCTGAAACTTGTGATCCTCCTTCCTCAGCCATGGGCCACCACATCTGGCTAGGAGCATATGAATTTACTATAAGATACCTATCTGAATTCATTTTGGTGAATTTCTTTCATCTTCATAGCAAGTTCTACTAATGTTCTCAAACATGTTACTAGAAATTACTAACCTATTGTAAAACATCTATTTTAAAGATATACATT